CACGTCGTGCGCTCCCTCCCCCCTCCTTGCGTGCGCGAGCACGAGCCGCCGCGACCTCCCATTGGCTGCTGCCTCGCGGGAGCGCGCAGCGCTTACATAACCGCCCTGCCCCCCGCCCCGCGCTGCCCCGGCCTGGGCCCGGCGCCCGCCAGGCCGGCGGGAAGCGGCGCGGACACGCGCACCCGGGCGGCCGCGGGGGCGCGCCTGGCTCTGGGCGGGGCTGTATTGTCCTCCTTCAGTGGTGGAGCATAATCAAAATGGCTTCCAGCTGGTGACCAGTGGGGACGAGGAGGCTTGAGGCCTTAGACGTGCGACCCGGGACGGGGGAGGCAGACGGATCAGAAGGGCACAGGGGAGCCTCAAAACAAGCCCCAGCAGGAATTCTGGGGAAATCTCCCAGAATTCGGCTCCCCCAACGTGGACCAAGTGCAGCCCTCCCCAGGGTCAGAGCAATAGCAAACTTCTTTCCAGGCAGCCTCATCCTTAGGGCTCCAGGTTCTTGCCTCAAGTGCAGTGACTCCGTCTGTCCTGTCGGGAAGCCTACCCCTTGAGCAGCTGAAGAAGCACGATCGTTTGTTCATGGAACAAACGCCTTTCCTGATGGCCCGGCTTTCCAACTTTGAAGAGGAAATCAAGTTCCTGAGAGGAAAAGTCACGCCACCTAATAGCACACCCTCCCGATCATTCGCTCGATTCCTCTTCTCCATGCTTCTGGTTGAAAAAGAGAAGTTGGTCCCTCCTGTCTAATGAGCAAGCCCCCAACATCTGCCCTGGATTCCATCATCACCGGCCCGGCTCAGGCGACTGGATTTCTTTATCTCCTCGACGTTGTCTCCGCCTTTGCTTGCACTCCTGTTAACCCAAAGGAAGATTCCCAATTCAGTTTTCCTCTCAAGTTACCACCATTATCTTCCTCCATTTGTGGCCAAACACCTTGAAAAAATGCCCATGCCAGCTGTCCCTACTCGCTCACCTCCCACTCTCTCCTCAATCCACTGCATATGGTGCTGTCCCGTAGCCCCACTAAAAAAGCTCTCCAGGAGGCCACCACATCCTGTGTGCTTCCCCAGTGGCCCCTCCTTCCCTCCAACTGGCTCCTCTTCTGCCACCAGTCTGAGTGTTTTCCAACCCATCAACTCTTCAGGCTCCCCTTACCTCCTCGGCCATTTCTGTCTTCCTTATCCAAGTCCTTTCATGTTCCTTGGGGTTTTCTTCCAGGATTCCTTTCTCACTCTCATTTCTTCTCCTGGCAGGGTTTCACTGACTTCTGTTACTATTTATTTGCTAGTGATCCTCAAATCTGTATCCAGTTCTTTCCTCTGAGCTTTCAACCCGCATATTTAACAGCCTTCCAACCACCTGCAATTGGGTGTGTCAGAGGTAAATCCCACTGGGTCCGCCTTGCTTTACCTTCCCTGACCTGCCCCTGGCTTTCGGGGCTCCCTAGTGCACTCACTGGTACTCAGAGACCTGTCTCCCCAAGTCATAAAGTTGGGCCGCCGCCTTCTGACCCCCTCCTCGCTTTCTAAACCATCTATCAAAAAACTCACTGCCCTGAAGCCCATTCCGATTCATGTGACCCTAGAGGACCCGATGAGAGCTGCCACGGGGGGTTTCTGAGATGACCAGCTCCTCACGGGAGAAGAAAGCCTCCTCCTTTTCCCAAAGCATGGCTGGTTGCTTTTGAACTGTTGACCTTGTGGTTAACAGCCCAACGCTAAATCCACTATGCCACTTGGGCTTCTCAACCAATCTTTAAGTCGTGTGAATTCGCCTTCTAAATGCCTCTCGGATCTGCCGACCTCTCTGCCACCCGTCTCTGAGTAGGGCTACACTGTCTTCAGTGTGGATAGGTGATTTACGGCCAGCCTTATGCATGAGCAGACGCCTGAGAAGGCAGACTGATCCGAAAATCAAAAGAAAGAGGCCTCCTTCAGCCCACTTTCTAGTCCGGACCGGTCACACACCTGAGTATTTCAGTGAGTTAGTATGCACCTAGGGTGCTGGTTCTTGGGCATGGTCCAGAGTGTGGTTCCGGGATGTGACTCCCTCTGTTTCCAGAACCATTCAAAAATAGGCAGAAGCTGCTGCCACTCCCTAGTTCAGTGGCAGTTCTGAGCCTTACACCTCTGGCTGTCCAGGTGACTCAGACCCGAAGCAGCCTGGGAAGACGGAGTAGAGCGGCCCCATGGGGTTTCCCAGGTGTCAATCGCCGCTCTCACAGAGTGGCCAGCTCAGCTCGTAGTTTCCCACAGCACATTTTTTGGTTAGCAGGTGAGCACTTTATGAAATAAAGAATCGATCTTGTCAGATCTACCAAGCCCTGTGAGCGCTGATCCAGGGTTCATGGTTTCTTGCTTGCTTCTCCTTGAAGCCTCAGCTTCAAGCACCCTTCCTGGGATTGTGACTAGAGAGAGGAGACTTCATCTCACCTCCTTTGGACAGACGATATGTTATGGGGGAGACCAGTCCCTGGCGAAGGACATCACGCTTGGGAAAGTAGAAGGGTGGCGA